GCGTGAGCGACGCGCCGAGACTGACCAGGCGCTTACACGCTGCGTTACGTTTCATATCTCTGGCATCGATGCGATTGACAGGATCGACAGCAACGTACATCGTGGCAGCCTGGTGCAGCACCGTGACACCGTTGCGATCCACAGCATCGACGCGAGCGCCCGCGTCGAGCAGCATGCTCGCAGCGTCAATTCCGCCGTGCGCGAGGGCCGCGTGCAGCGTTGACTTATCGTATAGTAGGCGCAAATTTACGTCGGCACCGTGGTCGATGAGCCACCGCATGGTCGCAAGCCAACCGCGAAGCGATGCATAATAAAGGCGAGTGCCTCCTGGACCTTCATCGATAACACGAACCTCCCCACCCCAAATTCCGACGGTACAGGGACTGTCGACGTCGCGATCGCCGGCGGCGTACCAGGCACGCGTCTGGTTGAGAAAGTCTGTGTCGTGGGGGTCCATCACAGCGTCGCAGCAGGCGCCCAGACCTTGAGTCAAGGTTGAGGGTAAAGGTGTGTGCACCGTCTGGCGTTTGCAGGAGAGATGCAGTCGACCTGAGCCCATTCAAGCGATCTTACACGACCGAATCGATTGGCTAAAACACAACATCAACAAGCTTACATGCCGCAGCAGGCTCGACCTGACGCTGATCAAGCGGCCTTACACGGCCGGCCCGAAGCTCTAAAACGCATCAACAACAACAACAACAAGCTTACACATCACATGCCGCAGCACGCGACGGGGCAGGCGTCCTTGGCCTTGACCTTCTCCGCGTTCTTCTTCTTGCAGCGGCTCTTCGTCTTCTTCTTCGCCACCCATGCGCAGTCGCGCGTCGCCTTCTTCGCGAACCAAGAGGCGTCGTCCTCGTCGCAGGAGCAGCACGCCTCGGCGCACGCCGCTTCCGCGTCCTTCTTCTTGCACCGCGCCGCAGGCTTCTTGGCGACCCAACCGCAATCCCTCTTCGATTTTTTGTAGTACCACGAAGCGTCGTCGCCGCAGGTGCCCGACGCCGCGTCGCCGTCACCTAGACGACGAGAATGGCGGCGACGAGGGCGACGACGATCGAGCGGGGAACCGCGCGACGCGCGCCGTCCGTGGCCGGGGACGCCGCCGGCGCGCCGGACGCCTCGGGCACGAGCGCCCAGCACGCGGCCGCGGCGTCGCCCCGCGGCGCGCCACAGCCGCCGTCGTAGTCGCCGTCGTCGAAGCTCAGGACCTCGGCGTCCGTCGTCGTCGTCCCGTCGCGGTCCGCGGCCGAGTCGACGACGACGCAGGCGCCGCCGTCGCAGGCGACGTCGTAGTCGGCGCAGGCGCCCCGGAACATGACGACGTCGTCGCCGCCGCCGCCGGTCACCGTATTCGCGCCCGCGTTGACGCCGAAACAGTTGGCGCCGTCGTTGCCGACGAGGTCCGCGTCGTTGGCGCCGAGGAGCGCGACGTGGCGGTAGTACTGCGACTTGTGGGTGTAGCAGAGCGCGTCGTCGAAGGCGAGCGTGAACGTGCCCTCGAAGGTGTCCGGGAGGTACGCGAGCCAGGTCAGGTGGTCCGCGAAGAACTGGGGGACCATGGCCCACGCGTTTGGGTCGACCGTCTCGAGGTCCGCCCGCGCCGCGGGCTCGTAGACGCCCCACATGCCCGCGCCGTAGTGCGCCCAGAGGCCGTAGTAGACGTCTACGACGCTCGCGAGGTACTCCTGCGTGAGGCTGCCCTCGTCGGCGAGCTCCTCGATCCAGTCGTCCTGGCCCTCGCCCCAGAGGCCCGTGCCGCCGAGCGACGTCGGCTGCGCGTGGTCCGTCGCCGCGCGGATGACCGCCTGGTACTCCGGCAGCGCGCCGTCCGGGTAGCCCGCCTTGTCGATGCCGATGCCGTTGTCGTGGACGAGGTGGAGGATCTCCTCGAAGGCCGCGTCGCGGTGCTCGTAGTCGCAGCCGACGAACCAGTCGTCGCCCTCGACGGGCGTCTCCGCCCAGTAGAGCTCCTGGCCCTCGAGGCTCGTGCCCGCGCCGTACTCCTCGTGCGCGCCGTTGGGCATGTCCAACTTCGCCTCGTTGTCGGCCATGGCGTCGGCGACGGCGCCCTTGTCGGCGCCGTAGAGCGACCCGGCGACGTCCTCGAGGTAGAACGCGAGGATGGATTTCGCGCGGTAGATCTGGAGGCTGCTGAGGTCGGAGCCGCCGAAGATCTCGATGGGCTTGCCGTTCGGCGCCGTGATCTTCGCGTACTGGCAGAAGAAGGCCCGGTACATGTCCGACGCCGTGTCGGGCACCGCGGACACGCCGAGCCGAGCCGCGTGCGCGTCGAGGCACGGCGCCATGGGCTCGACGGTCCCGTCGCCGCCGTCGGCGCAGCACGCGGCGCAGTCCGCGGCGCCGGCGTCGGGCAGCCCGTCGCCGTAGCAGTCGTCGATGCAGCCCTCGCACGCGCCGACGTCGCCGTCGTCGAAGTTGCAGAACGTGCCGCTCACGCAGCCGCAGGCCGACGGGCCGAGGCACTCGCCCGCGCCGCCGCTCGACGCGCCGTCATCGCTCGCGTCGCTCCCGAAGCAGCACGCGGCGCAGTCGTCCTCGCCGTCCGAAGGGAGGCCGTCCTGGCCGCACGCTGCCGCGGAGGAGAAGGAGGAGCAGGACTCGCAGCCGCCGCTGCTGCCGTCGTCGAAATTGCAGAATTCGTTGTTCGAGCAGCCGCAGGACGACGGCCCGCGGCACTCGGCGGCGTCGACGACGCCCGCGAGCGCGAGGGTCGCGATGATTGCCTTCTGGGTGCAGCTCAGTGAGCTCATCGTTCGATCGGCCGCTTCGAAGCGGCGCCGCGGCAAATCTGCGGCAAGCGAGATATTGAAGACCGCCAGCCTCGTCCGCGATCCTCGACGCCGCTGCGACGTGCGCACACCCGCATACCCGCAGCAAACGATGCGCGCAGTCACTCTATTGATCGCGCTGCCCGCGGCGCTGCACGCGTTCCGCGCACCGACGCCCCTGCTGCGCCCGAACATTGCCGTCGCCGCAACCCCCGTCAGCGAGCTCCTCGCGGGCGAGGTCGCGGTCGGCGAGGCGTCGATGACGCGGGCGGCGGTCGTCGCGGACCTCGCGGCGCGCACGGAGGCCTGCCGCGCGCCCGCGGCGGACGTGCTGCCCTACGCCACGGACGACGAGCGCGACGCGTGGCTGCTCCGATTCTGCGCCGAGGCCGAGGACGTCGACCTCGACGCCGTCGCGGCGCGCGTCGAGGCGAGCGTGGCGTGGCGCCTGGGCGAAGGCAAACCCATCGTCGAGGCGGCGCGCGACGCCGTCGCGGCGGCCACCGCGACGCCGGGATCGTGGGACAACGGGCCCGTGCTCGCCGCCGCCCCTCATTCCGCCAAGATCGAGCCCTGGGTGCCCGCGGGCAAGCTCATGACCATGCGCGGCGCCGGCGGCCTCGTGTACGCCATCCGCGCGGGTCTCATCGACGACAAGGGCCTCATGGCCGACGTCGACGCGGACGCCCTATCGTCGTTCTTCCTCTACGCCAAGGCGGTCA